CTGGAGAAACAAAAACGTCGGAGAGCCCACCGAGCTGGAGAAATGAAAACGGCGGTGGGCCAACCGAGCTGGAGAAACGAAAACGTCGGCGGGCCAACCAAGATGGAGAAATAAAAACGCCGGCGGGCCGAGAACCTATGTGGTAGCGCAAGCACTAGCGCTCTCGAGCGTTAGCGTTAGCGCTAGTGCCTCTGAATGTTTTTCACTGGAGCAAGTGCCTGAGTTGTGGGGGACTAAATTCGTGCAGCCGCGATCAGTGTTGCGTGGTGTCAAACCTAGGGTTGGGGTGGCGGAGGCGGTGGGGGAGAAGAGTCACTTGGGCGCAGGGTGGGGACTGCCTTGAGGAAGCACTGAAATGCTTCTGCCATATCCTGGTCAGGGTCGGTCTATGCTGGCATTCCTGGAGAGACTACGGAAGGAAGGAGGAGATGTGTGGTGGTCCGAAGGGCGGGATTTGGGCGCCACACATACCAGTATGTGAAACTTGTCAGGGGCTTTGCCCGCTGGCTTTGATACGGAGTCGGAAGCTGAAGATTCTCGGGGAGATGAGAGACGCATGTGCATCGACTAGTGTCGACTTCCGGAAGAGCGACACTAGAGCTTAGCTATGACTGGTATTGCCCACTGTCGTTTTGGTTTTCGTTTCTTTGCCTGTCAGCTAGTTAGGGTTCATTCGTTCGTGTTGACTATTTAGGTGTTTTTTGGGTGGAATTATGTTGGTCTTTTTCAGTGTTTAAGGTTGGAGGTGTAGATTTCTGTTTGCATTTTCCTTTTGATGGTTTTGAGTTGGTTTGTGTTTTAGTGTCAGGGTTGGCGATGTTAATTAGTGTGATGTTAATTAGACTTAATTAGGGTGTGACGTTGCACGGTGACGGGTGCTCCGCCGCGGTGGGGTTAATCCAGGCCAGATAGCCTGGTTCATCCCTGCGGACCGTGGTTATTTATAAGAGGGGCGCGGGGGCCGTTTCCCACCCTGTGATGATATGATTGATATACTCCTGTTTGTGGAAAAAAAAAAAAAAAAAAAAAAAAAATCCAGCGGCAAGTATAGCGGGGCAAAAAATGGTTCTGACGGTCAGCCCTCGCGTCCTATGAAACCGCGCGTTCGCATTCAAATGTGCGTTTGAACGCGGATTTAAATTTGCGTTCAAAATTGAACGCCATTTAATTATTTTTTTTATTTTTTATTTGTTTAAAAAAAAATATTTCGATGCCTAAAAATAACTTTTTTTTTCGGATTTTTTTTTATGAGTTGTGTATGATGTGAGGTACATACCCCTTAATTTTAGGGTCATTTCGGTCAGGCAACAAAAAATGAAAAATCGCCAAAGATGGCGGTGTCAAATCGTGTTCGCTCACTAATTTCAATTTTTTTTTTACTTTTTTCTATTTTCTGTTTTCTATTTTTTTTTTCCAATTTGGTAACGAATTTAGATGTAATGCTCGGGCAAATGTTGTTTATTTTATTTTTCTTCATAACATATTTTGTTTTCAGAATTTTTTAAGGTTTTTTGTTTTTTTTTTCCCCCGCGCGAAAGTGAACTCCGCGTTCGGTCCCGTTCATTGAACGCGCGTTAATTCCGTTCAGTTTCTGAACGGAAAACCCGCGTTCAATGAACGCGCGGTTTCACAGGATGTAGATCAACAGCCTCAGAAACAATCATAGCACATCGTTGGAATAGGCACCTAGAGATAGACTCGGAGAATTTAAAAGAATTACCTTGGAACCAAATAGCTACTCTACACCCCCCGAAGTTCAAAAGTTTTCACATGGTTAATGCTCTACTTAGCAATCCCACTCAACCAATGGATGAACATTAGAAGAAGGAATGAACTGTGTGCTAACTGCACAGAAGGACATATAGAAGACTTGTTTCACTGCTTCCTACTATGCCCCAAGATCCAACCCATATGGAACAGGATCACACAGATTTGGGCCTGAATAACCGGCACAAAATTCACAACAAACCCCACCCTTATTCTATTATGATTCACAACCACTGAGGACTTTCCCCCAATTCAAAACAACCTATTCCGAATCCTACGCAAGGCAAGAATATGGTCAATTTGGAGGAAATCCAAAGAACGATAGACAAACAACCAATGCATGTGCAAGAAGCATGGGGTGTCCTCAAACAGCAAGTAGTAACGGAATACTGGGTACTATGGTGCAAAGTCAAGAGACAATTTTACAAAATTCAAAAGAAAAAATATATATATTTTAGAAAATTGTAATTCAAATGACGTTTTTTCTTATGGCTTTGGTGAGATGCACAATCATTCAAGCAATATCAGCAGTAAAGAGTCTACCCACTTGCACACAGCCAAAAGGCAAAGAGGCAAAAAAAAAGAGGAAGGGAACAGCCAAATAATACAGAACAGGGGGCAACAAAACAGATCCCAGATGACAAGTCCCACATGCAAGCACTGCCCCTGCCCACAGGCCAAACGACGGGACAAGACCAACCAGGATGTCAAGCATTCTTGTCTGCAAAAAAAAACAAAAAGAACCCGGAGGACAGGTATAAAAAGCAATCCTGCATGATGATTCCCACATGCAAGCACCGCCCTGCGTTCCAAAAGGCCGAATAACGGGAAACAACCAACCAGGATGCCAAAACAATAAAAACAACCAGATGACTGGTCCCACATGAAGCACCGCTACCTGCTTAGACCGAATAACGAGACAAAACCAACCGGAATGCAGACAAAATTACCGCAACAAACCACAATGTCAACTTATGGGGGTCTTTTGCACATCATCCCTTTAAAAAATTAGTGCATGAGCAAAACACCCGCGCGTGTTATTTCAACATTTGCAAACGAAAAACAAAAAAAATCTGTATAATTTTGGGTATAACCAGTGTGACTTTGTGCACTTCTGTGAGGCACAAATATCAGAACCGCCACTCGTGTGTCACACACAGTTCGTGTGTCGCACACAACTCGTGTGTCACAGCACATGCACCGAAAGGCACAAATACATGGTACCAAACGCCATAGATATTTGGGGCTTCATGTCTCCGTGTGAGTAAGGGACTCGTTCCACACTCCTCGGGCGCGTAAATCCCTCGAGGAAATGATCGTTCCACTTATCCTCGGGGAAGAAATTGAAAAACAAATGTGAAAACATTTACTCGGGGATTCCTCGGTGATTCCTCGGGCTACAACTATTTCGACGCGTTCCCCAAGGGACCTCCCGAGGTCCCTCGGACTGGAAGAATCGGAACGTCGTCGGCAACTCTCTCGACGACATTTTTCGACGATTGTCTATACCACTGCCGTTCCTTGCGCCATTGGACGGACATCTTCGATCGGCAACGGTCGGCGTCATGGAATAGTCTGCCAACGGTCCCCTTTGGCGGCCTGCTGGCCTCCGCGACATCGAAAAGGGCCTGTCTTGCGTCGCTGCCCTTGGCCCCGAGTGGGAAGGCGCCCAACGGTCGGCAGATTCAAATATTTCAGCCGTCCCCCGCCCGGGCGATTGCGCACTGTCTTCACAGACGGAATACATTACCCTGCTTTTGTCGTTTGCTGCGTTCAGGCGTTTGCAGCACTGTCCCTCGCCGTTACGTGATAGATCCCCCGTTGTCTTCTAGCTGCTACCGTCATCCACGTGCCTTTCATGGCCGACGTCTTTCGAAGCCTGCCGCTGCTGGTGCTGGTCATCCTATTGCTCCTCCTCCTGGTTGTCTTCCACGTGTGCATCCTCTGCAGCGTTCCGCGACGTGGCCGCAGGAGGTCTTTGAAGAACGACGCTAGGATGGAGGGCCGACAGGCGATCAGCGGGTCGGCAGGGGATCACGGTGGGCGGCGGTCTGGACACAACCCGTCGAATAGTTCAAGGCCGTCGGAGCGGTCTGGGTACGCGCACCTGCCACCGCACTTGCAACCTGTGCCAGACACGTCCGACGAGGAGGCGGATGATAGACGGTCACGGACCGTGCCGCTGGGAAGCAGATTCACCCAGGAGTGAACGCTACAAAACTGTTTGAAAGCCGCGAGGGTGGTAATAGGCAGTCCTACACCGAACTCCTCCAGCAGGGGCTCAGCGACCATGATGCCGATGGCGGCATGAATCTGTCGTTTGGACTTGGTGGCGGGAGGTCGGCGGCCGTCTCTCGAACGGTCGTCGTAAACCCCAATCCCGACGATGATGGCGGCGACGTAATGGTTGTTCTTCGAACATCCAGCTTTCCAACGCCGCTGCGGGAGGCTTTGGGGAACAACAGGGATCCTCCGAGGCAACAATTTCGGTCGTCGTCTGTGTGTAGAGGTGCCTTCGCTCGCCCCCACTGGATGCAGTCTCCGTCTCCCCTGTCCGCCGGTTCGAGTGCAGGCCGCCGTCTTGGCCAGTGCGGGGAGACGGCGTGTGGCATCGCTGATGTTGGTGACGCACGTGACGGAAGGGAGGTGTGGGCAGAACAGCGACGGTTGATGCGGTCGGGGCGGAAGGAGTCCATAACTCTCGGGGTGCAGCGATTGCGTATTGGGGAAGACGGATACGACGGCGAGGAAGCAGTGACGAAGGAGCATGACCCCGACTGAAACGACAACGGTGCTGAAGGTGGGGAGGACGACGCAGGCTACGTTTTGTCGTCGATGCAGGCCACCACGATGGGAGGGAGGGGAGAAAAAACGAAGTCATCTGCCGGTAATGGTCGTCGGGGCAAAAGGGCGGCGGGCAATGGTAGCGATGCCGAAGGTGACGTCGATGGGGAAGGAGGTTGTCACTTCTGGTCCGTCGACGACATTATAGCCCTCATCCGGGCTAAACGTGATCAGTGTGACGCACGTGCAGAGGGCACGTGCGGGGATGGTGAGAAAGAGAGAGAGAGAGAGAAGGACACACACGAAGCAGCAGCTGAGTGGAGGCCCTGTCCGGCCGAATGAATGAACGAGCAAGTGAATGAATGAACCTGCCACCCTGGACCTCGACCGAAGTGATATACCGGCCTGGGTCCAGTAGCGGAATAACCTGGTACCGGACCAGGGTCAGGCCGGCGGCCTGAAACTGGTCCGGCCTCACTGCCGGGCCGGAGGGATACCGCTCCAATCAGGATGTGCATCTGCAGGGGATGGGTCACGCGTACACTCGGATGAAGCCGCGAGAATGGAAGTGGCTGGATGTGGCGACGAGGTTGAGCGTTGACAGAGAGGCAGATCGGTGCGGGAAAAACTGGGACAATCTGATGCAGCAGTTCAAGAAGGTACATCACTTCCAAGGACTGTCCGGGAAACAGGACTTCTTCCAATTGCTGGGAAGGACAGGATGTCGAAGGGCTTCAGTTTCAATATGGATCGTGCGGTTTACGACGAGATACTGGGTCGACCGCCAAGAACCACACCATAAACCCGAAGAACGTCGCCGACATTGGTGCTCAGGGTGGTGTGCGTCTGTCGTCCTCCTCTTCTGCGGATCTTGAATCTGTGGACGACGACGACGGGTCCACGAAAGGTTCTTCGCAGACGACGGGTGCCGCAGGCGGTTTCGGCAAGAGGAAGAGCACGAGGCAGCAATATTTTGAGGCAATGACTGAATGCATGGAGAAGCACGGGGCGCTAATGACGTCGACGATGGAGAGCAACAACAAGCGTCACTGCTCCATCGCCATACGACAGTGCGAGGCGCTCGAAGCGGAGGTCGAAGTGCAGAAAAAGCACTACGCAGCGTCAGACGAAGTCAACAAGCTTATATGCCACGCCTTGCTGGAGATAGCGAAGGCCATCGCCAAGCGTTAGACTTCGTGCCGCCTCTGTTGTGCTCTCAAATCGCTTCCATGGATATGGACGGCGCGAAAGTGAGAGTCTTTCCGTCGTCGATGTAGCCGTCGCCGTCGTCGTCGATGTGCCGTTCCCCCATTGGCAGTGCTGGCCAGGGAATTGGGTAGCGGTCCTATTCAGTGGATAACTCCTCCAGTGACTTTTTTTTTTTTTTTTTTTTTTTTTTCATTGTTCGTTTGGTTTGTTGTAGGCCTCGGCCGTGTGACGAGACAGATAATTCCGTCAACTCTGAATTTTAATTGGCCTCGATGAAGTGCAGTATGCACTTCCCTTTTTTAGATGACGACTTCGATTCCGTTTTCTCTCTCACCCTCTCTCTCTCTCTCTCTCTCTCTCTCTCTCTCTCTCTCTCTCTTTCTCTCTCTCTCTCTCTCTCTTGTTTCTTTGTGTCTTCACCCGAAATGAAATGTAAAGGTGTAATAAAGGTGTTATCTTTAATGCCGTTCATTTTCGGAATGCTTGTGTTCAATTAAAATCGTCTCCCTCTTTCTCTCCAACATGTGTTTTGGTGTCTTCTCCTGAAATGAAATGCAATGGTGCCATGAAGGTGTTGTYTGTAATGCCGTCCATTTTTTGTATGCATTTGCTCATATTGTGCATACACTCAATTTGTCGTCGATGGAGTACAGGCGTACTTGGGTTCAATTAAAAACATCCTCCAAATGTGGATGTCCAGTCACCACAGTTGTACAAAACGCAGCTTGTGTTGTGTATTTTTTTTTTGTTTATCTACCTCTTTTCATGCCCTGCTAGATCGTCGGGTGGGGTGCTGTATTTCGGAGGTGGGGAGGGGAATGCTCAACCCGTCCCGGCCAATATGCATGCCATGGTTGGGGGTGGTTTGGGGGGGTAGGCGAGTTCGGTCGTTGGGTACGTTCCTGGGCGGCATGGAGTGTGGACGATGGGGGAGTGAGATGGAGTCATTTCTGGGGGCAGAATTTCGGGCTGGGGGGTCCCTACATGTCCACAATCGAGGAAGGGTGGCCAGACGATGGGTGGCGGTGCAGCGGATGCATGGCCGTCTCACCCGCGACCCTTCGCCTTTCGTCTCGCTCCCCGCGATGACACTGCGCTTTTTGTATCGTTTGGTGGAGCATGGAAATGACTTTGGACTGGCCTTCCTACTGCTCCTTCGCTGGCGTCCACCCCGCGTGACACGTGTTTATAAGAACGCGGGCGTTCTTCGCAAATGCACGACAGCACTCTCTCGCTCCCTGACGCAGTCCCCGCCGCCCGCTGCGCTTCTTCCGTCGCCGTCGCAGTCGTCTTCGCCGGGTGAGTCGCCTTCGTAGCCATCATCAGCGCCTTCGTCGCCATCGTCGCCATCGTCGCTTTTTGTTAACGTCATCGCCTTCATCGCCATAATCGCCATCATCACCGCCTTCGTCGCCGTCATCGCCATCGTCACCACGTCCGTCGCCAACGTAGCCATCTTCACCGCTTCCGTCGTCTTGGCAGTCATCTTCGGTGAATTCGTCGCTGGCGTGCAAATCATCTCGCCCGTCATCTTCACCGCCTTCGTCGCCTTTTCGAACATCGTCGCCTTCGTCGTCGGGATCGCCATCGTCACCGCGGACGTCGCCATCATCACATACCAAGCGATCATCGCCATCGTCGTCACTGTTGCAGGCCGTCGTCGAATACGTCGCCAACACCACCATTGCAGTTGACAGTTGGCTTCGATAGAGCAGGGCACGTCATCGAAACGAAGCGGGCGAACAAGCTTGACGTGGGTGTGTCTTGCGCCATGTCGTCCAGCGGTTCTGGACGCGGCAAGGCCGCGCCAACCTCGCACAACAACCACCGATCCAGGAGAAGAAGGGCCGCCACATGGCCAGCAAGAAGAGGAAGATCGTCCAAGGCGGCCCGTCACATGAAACTTACGTGGTGGATGAAGAGTCGGTGCCGGAGGAGGTGGCAACGTAGGAGGGGACGGACTTCGACGACTCTGACGACATGCCGTTGCAGCGGAAGTCGTCCAGGCGGGGAAGTGGAGGCCTCCGAATAGACGACGCTGGCGACAGACGACGCACAGGAGGGCGGGCAGTACCGGAAGAAGTCATCGACGATAGCCAGAGAGGGCGGGGGAAATGCTATCCCGACGCACAATCGCTTCCCGCTGCCATGTACGACTGCAGCCCCCGACGTGCAAGAGGGTGCGCTCCGCTCACGGACACCGCTCACATCGCGCTCGAGGACGGCTGCAGACGTGGCCGTCTCGGGGGGGGTCATCACAGGCGGCGGGATGGGCGAGGGTAGGCGGGGCAGCGGTGGGGGGGGGATCGCACGTGGCGAAAG